TAGGAGAAGAAGATATGAAGACCTTAAGGCTTTGTTCACTTGAATGGATTTGGGGGAGAGTGATTGAGTGGATTTGAGAGGATTTGAAGATAAAAAATTTTGTTGTTTATTTGAGTGAATTGGGAGGTAAGTGAGAGTGAATTTGGAAGTAAATTTTTTTAATCTGTCACACTCAATCACTCTTCCCCAAATCCATTCAAGTGAACAAAGGGTAAGAGAGCTTCATCAAGCATGTCCTTTCTGTTAGTCATTCCAATAAGCAAAACATTATTGAGTGACTCCACACTATCTATCTGTAAACCAAGCATATTGTCTTAGAATTTCTGATATGACTACTATAGAAACAGTATCTCTTCTATCAATAAAAGTATTCAAAAAATTTACTAACCTTAGTCAAAAGCTGATTTACAATCCGTCATGATCTTTGCTCAAAACTTCAGGGCCATTTACAATCTAATAAAAGTCATAGAAAAGAAAAATTAAGACAGCAAAATATAATTACAATCTACATATATCTCGCTCAGATTTTGAAGCTATTCAATTAGTTAAAGAATCGATCACAAGGACAAAGTAAAAATGTCACAAAAATGTAGTAAGTACAGAAGGCAAAAATGAAGCATGAGAACATTTAATATGTTTGGAGAAAGTTAAACATACTCCGATAAAAGTCACAAGTTACGTCCATAAGAATAAAGGAGATGATTGCAGGACAGGCAGTAAGATTCAAATTCAATATTGTCAAATCAAGTCCAGATTCCTTATCTATGATAACACATGAAAACTACCATTTTGTATAATTTTAAGAAATAAGAAGATAGTAGAACCATGAAAATAAAAGCATATTCCTAGGCAATTCCTAGACAAGAAATAACAGAATATGTGTATGGTTTTGAATATTTGTTCTGTATAGGTTCATGTAGTGACCATGGAACCATTATTACATCAGTAAACATTATTCGCGTTCTCTGTAGAAGTGAGAATAACAATGCAAGCTCTTCATCTGATCTGAAACTTCCTAACTTAAGTATCATCACCATCACAAATAGCGCTTCTACGCATTTCCTTAAGTTTTCCAATCCAAATCAACTAGTAACACGTTTTACACTCAGTTGAACCCAATCACCTAATTTTATCCCAACCCAACGAAATGCTCCTAAGTATGTGTACGAAGCACAATCACATTTCCAACAATAAGTAAACCCACTTCGTTAAAGCTTGAATTTAATATAAGCAAATCCAGAAAATTATAAGAAAAAGATGAAATGAAAAGCGGGAGCATAGAGAAGGTACGAGAGATTCGAGATGGTTGTCAATGGAGGCGACTTCATGGCGATTAAAGCGTTGGTAGCAGCAATGAAAGATCGGTAATTGACAACGGCGACTTCTTGCATTTGCAGGGGAGCGCGACAGAGGAGCTTTGCCAGGCAAGCGTCCCTGGGCACGACAACAAGATACTATGGTTCACAAGAGCTGGAGTTCGACTAAGATTAGATTCGTTAGCCAAGATAAGATTGGTGAAGAATGAAAGGAAGGAAGAAATTTTGAGTGAAATTGGAGTTAGGGGGAGTGAAAGATTCATATTGCTTCTACCGATGCAAGAGAACACGAAAGTCTGGCCATGCATTGGCATAAGGGCTTGACTGCAGTGATCTCTTCAACGCAATTCCTCGACCATGACATAGCTGTGAGAGGGTTTGGGTTTGGGTATATGTGATTGAGAGATGAGAGTGACTGACATCAGAGTCTTAAGGGTGTATAAATTTTGATATTTTCAGAGAAATGTTGAGTTTTCTGCACTGTAGGCAGGGTTTTGTGAGGGGAAATGAAAATTTTTCAACAAGCAAATAAATAGAAAACTATTATAAGGTGATAAAATAATAATAAGTATAAATTATAAATAGAATTTTTTTAAAAATGTGTTATCTAATTATATCTCTAACATGTTTTTTTTTAATTAGCATATTTTACTGGTCTATTTTAAATTATTAATTAAAAAAATATAAATTAAATATAGATAATATTTTCATAAAAAGAAAAACGTTATTTATTTATATTTAAATAGATAGTACTTAAGCGTTGTTTATTTATTTTTAGAAATCATAAATAGTGTTTATATAAAAAAGTTCTCTAGTGTGAATATTTGAATTAATTGGTTAGGATTACATTATTAGATGTTTGTATTGCGTAACTGCGTTATGAGAAGAGTCTGCAGAATATTAAAAGGATGGAAAGTTTTATTGAAAACTGAATCAGAGTGAGTTTTTGAAATTTGTCCAAGAGTCCAAATGACTAGGGCTGGCAAAAAAAAACTAATTTGTACTGAACTATACTTAACTGTATTTTATAATCCTAAAAAAAACTAATCCATTTTCACTAAAAAGTTAAATATACTGTTTTATAGTTTAGTTTTTAAAACTGAACTTATCACATTTTTAGTTCAGTTAACTGTAGGAGAACTGTTTTTCTATCCCTCTCTCATTTCCAACTATTTCTGAAATGTGATCCTCCCTTAGCTGATGCGGCGTTGCCCACCATAATTGTAACTCCAACTAGTTCATCAAGTATAGAGTCTTCTTCTCAAGAAAATAATTGTAACTCCAACAACCATGTAACTCTTACTGATATCCAAGGGAGATAACAATATAGAATTATTTTCACTGTGAAAATTGTTGCCATTATATATGCTGATGTTTATTGAGTTATGTTTATCCACTGCAGTCTTATTTTCTAGATAATCAAACATTCAATATAATAGTAATCCTTTAATGATGGCCTTTAATAAACTATCTGGCAGTAGTGCTTAATTATGGATAAAAGCGGATGATGAAAATTCTAGAATAAAAATCATTGTACAATAGAAGCCTTTGGAAAGAGAAAATGACAATGGATCAGACGTCAAATTGTAGAAAATAAAGTAAGTAGTCAATATTGGCGGTTCAATATAAGATGAACAGTCAGAAGCCAAAACTGCTAAACCTGTAACATATTTCCAACCTTGATTGAAATCACTGATTGATGAAAAAGGGACTGATTTGAAATATTGTAACAGTTTACTGTACTATAACTGAACTAACTGAACTAAAAATTAGTTCAGTGCAGTTTGTCCGAACTGTTTTTTGGTTCAGTTCAGTTCAGGCGAACCATTTTATAGTTAACTACAAATCTTTATAATACAATGCAGTTTAGTATACTTTGCCCACCCCTACAAATGACAGATTTGGTGCTCAAGCCTACATTCGCAGGTAACATAAAAATTCAAAAGTTTAAAGGTTTAATCATTTCAGACATAGCTATTTGTACATAATCGTCTCAAATTAGTCTTCGTATTCTAAATCCTCTCAATAAGTCCTTTATTGTGAAAATTTTAATCAATTTAGATCTTACCGTTAACTAGGATGGATGGTGTTAAAAAAATTTGATGTGTGGCTGGGTGACATGAGCAAGTGGTACTGACGTGGCACACATCGGTCACCTGAGTTGGCTTTATTTTATTTATATATTTAAAAAAATTCACTTAAATCAAAACACAAAGTTTTCTTTATGAAAAATAGATGACTAGTTAGGTTTTTTTTAATTTGATTGTTGTCTGGGTGTGGAATTTGGGGAAATTTGGGAAAATAATTGGGATTTTAAGAAATCCCTAAATTGGAAGATTGAAATCCCTGAGGAGAGCGAGGTTCGTCTTCAACCTTGTTCAGCTTGTTATTGAAGGGTGTTTTGGTGCGACGCAGGTGGGTGGGTGCTGAACGTGTTGTTCGAAGACGATGTCGAAGGAGCATTCTTGTTGTTCGTCGACATGCAATGTGTGGCGGAAGGAAAAGCGTAATGTGTGTTCACTGATTTGCCACTGTGAACTGAGATGTGCATTGAGAACTGCTAAAACATTAAAGAATCGTGGCAAGCAATTTTGGGGATGCTCGAAGTATAAGGTATGATTTATTTCACCTATGTATTATGTGGAAGTGTTTCTGAGAAGAAATTGTTGTTTATAGAGACTGGTGTTGAAGAGGGTGGTTGCAACTACTTCAAATGGTGCACTGATGTTGCAGAAGGCAAAAGGGGCACATGCTTGAAGTCTGAAGGAAACAAAGAAAGTTTGTTGCACAGTGAAGAAATGGATAGTAATAGGAATATGTTAGTTACGTTAGAGAAATTTGTCTTTGTTGTTCAAAAGTGGATGAAGGTCTTTGATATTTTTGGTTTGTGTTTTATGTGTAATAAACACAATTTTAGTTTCAATGTTGATGACAATGGGCTGATGTCTTTTAACTATGTTGTAGCTTTCTTCCATTTCAATGAAAATTAAACTTGTTTGATCTGTTTATGAGTAACAAATTCAATTGTTGTTATGGAATCTGATATGACTAAAGAATGGTTTTTTCTTTAATTTGATATGTTGTAAAGAGAGGTCTATATTGGTTTTATATGGTATGGACTAAGCAATTAGTTGCCACATGCATAACAATCTACTAGGTTGGGATGAATCTGAGATCTAAAGTTGCATAACAGTGAAACCTCCATCACCCAGTAATAAGACATATATTGTTTTTGTCATCAAAATATGGAGTGATAACTGATAACAAATAAAGAAATATATCTGATGTACAAGAAATATATCTGGACCAAGATGTACAACAAATATAACTGTTGTATTTTCATTGATAACTGATAACCAGTGATAAACAAATCAAATATAGCAAACTGTTGTCTTATACAAAAAGATACAAAAAGATCTTATAGGCATTACTATTGTTCAAATGACAGACATTACAAAAAGATACAATTGGTCCCATGTTGACATTGTCTAAACATTAAAAATTTTCATTTATCCCCTTGAACTATAGCTTCATCCTGATTTGATGATGGCATCATTGGTTGAGTTGATGGGTTAGTTTCTTCTGTTTGGTGAGAGTTGACATGAGGTGATTGTGTTGATTTGGTGCAAGAAGTCCTGTTGTGGCCCAGTTCCTTACAAAGGCCACATCTTTTCTTTAAACCACCCTTCATCATTCTTCTGTCATCCTTGACCAACTCTCATTGCTCCAACCTTCGCTTCTTCTTTGGTCTCCCAGGCAATATTATTTTTGGTGGAGGGAGGACATCAACATATGTGGTAATCTCCCACATCTTGTTACCATTTATTGGATACACAATTAAAGAGTATATTTCTTCATATGTTGACTTCCTAAAGCAACATGGAATGAAGTTCTCTGCATCTAGATTTAGGAATTTCATAGCAGCCAAGGAGTAGCAGCACGGTATGCCAGTGATAGCCCACTTCCTGCATGTACACAAGTTTTCATCTAAATTCACTACAAACTTGTCACCAGCTTGGGACACATGGCAAACTTCAAACATCTTGTTTGCTGATCAGCTGTAAAGTGAAAACAAGAAACACATTTTAATCATAAACAACTGATCAGTTGTAATAATCATAAACAACTTCACATTTTAACACAAATCATAAACAATATTGCATTTAGGTTACCTCGGAATCCAATATTTAGTTAACTGAGACTCCTTATTTAGTCTAGTCTTGATTTTAGGACAAATCTCCCTAGACAATGATTGTATTTTTGTCTTATTAGTTGCCCATCTCTTCATAAACTAAAGGCGGATTTCCTCCAACATGCTTATGATTGGCTTAGACCTTGTATGCACCATTACACTATTGAAAGCCTCTGACGTTGTTTACCAAAGTATCACATTGAGGTTTGCTGGTAAATCTTGATCGTGACCAGTACCTACATTGGATAAGGATAATCAATATTAGTGTTGAAAGCTGGGAGATTTTTAACAATAGAAGTTTAAATACAAACTTGGGAGGGATTTTTAACAAGTATTTGAAAGCCTCATCATTAAGCTGTTTTATATTTCTCATTTTTTATTCCCATGTTTGTGGATGGGTTGCTATAGTTGTCTTCCACATCAAACGCTTTAGTTGTTTCCTAGGGGATTTTTTCCTTAAATTTGCATATAGGTGCCTAACATAGAAACGTTTATCAACTCCAGGGACCACTTCTTGTACAACTTGCAATAGTCCCTATTGAATCAAATTATGACACTGTTGTTAGAGATATCATTTCAATATGAATGTTAATGAACATAATGGGGGAAAAGGTCATGTGCATTACATTTTGTTGATCCGACATGAATGTAAATGATGAACTTACTTCCTCCCCACCGAGATCTTCAACGAGAAGTTCAAGGAACCATCTCCAAGTATCCTTGTTCTCTACTTCCACCATGGCATACGCAAGAGGTAGCATTTGGTCATTTGCGTCTCTACCAACAACATTTAACATTTCACCACCATATTTTCCTTTCAGAAAAGCACCATCCAGCCCAATAATTGGCCTGCAGGACACAAAACTATCCTTGTAGGCCTTCAGAAAAGTATAAAACCTCCTAAAAATGTGTCCATCCTCATTCTCTTCAACTTTGACCTTTACTGTGGATCCTGGATTACGAGCTAGGAGCTCATTCGCATAATCATAAATCCTTGTATATTGATCTTTGAAAGACCCATCAACATGGTCTGAAGCAATGGCCTTTGCCCTATAAGCCATGCATCTAGATACACCTACATTCCATTTTCTATTTATCTTCTCACGAATTTCCTCTCCCTTTACTTTGGGATTTTCTCTAACAGTTTTTTCCAACATCTTACTCAGCCATTTTGCATTAAGTATTCTTAGTTTGTGCTCTCTACTACAGTTGTGGTTGTCAACAATAGTCCTTAATTGCCACGTATGAATGGCTTCCATATAAGCATAATATGCCATCTAAGGGCACTCTCCTTTAGCACCCATACATTTTAGCCTAATTCTCTTCTTATCATTTTTAACATATTTAATATTTCTGTCATTTTCTACACCATACGTTTTGATGGCATCCACAAAGTCTTGCTTGTTAGCAAAATAAGTTTCCAAATCCCATTTATAATCTACCATTGTCTTAGGCATAGAGAATGTTACAAACTTCCCACAACCATCCTCTTCATCATCTTGTCCATCACTTTCTGCTCCACTGTCTAATTCATCGGATTGTCATTCATCATCGAACAAACCTCTATCATCATCACTATTTATTCCATCATCAACATCACTATCATCAGATTGCACATCAACTTTGACATTACCAAACCAATCTGCAACTCCATCTCCTACCTCTTCTTCTATATCACAGTCAACATTTACATCAACTAGCCCTTCCATACAGTCATAATTAACTTCATCATTACCATCATCATCACCACTAGAACTCCAGCT